AACGTCGCCTGTAATTAGTAATTTTCATTTATATACTCGATTTCTTAATTCGATTTCGTTTCTAATCTGTTTATCAAGTTTGATTCTCGGGTTTTTGTTTTCTTCACAAACTTTCGGAAAGACTTCATTAAATCTCTGATTCAGTTCTGGTTTGCTGGTGGATGTTAGAATTGGTTGATTAACCGTGTCTATACATGTGTTTGGATAAGCAGATCGCGAGGAATGGCGACGTTCGAGCTCTACAGGAGGTCAACTATCGGCATGTGCCTGACCGAGACTCTCGACGAGATGGTCCAGAACGGTACTCTCAGCCCCGAACTAGCCATCCAAGTTCTCGTCCAGTTCGACAAGGTACGATTCATATTTCATTTTCTTCGCTGTATTTTGTTTTTCGTTCTCTTAAAAGAAATAACTGATTTAGTTTTATTATTATCCTCCCATTTTAGTCTATGACTGAAGCTCTGGAGACTCAGGTGAAGAGCAAAGTCTCAATTAAGGTAATCCTTCGATTCGTCTTTACATTATCTTGCACTGACTTTTTTTTCTCTTTTGGCCGACGTGACTTTGAAACGTAAAAGAAATATTTCTCAAAGAAATAAAAGAAGAGATGTGAAGTATATACTATCTCCTCGGCTTTAGTGATGGAATCTTAAATTGTGTTTCATTTTTATAATTCATTTGTTTCTGTTTGTGGGAGTTTTGGACTAAGTTCAGGGTGCTATTGGGCACTTATAATGGCAATTAATAACAGTTTTTATGGTTAAAATCTAGTTGGTAGCGTCTATAATGTGGCAGTTTTTGCTTTTCATATATGTGTGCGCGTTAATATGTGGTGCAGTTACGTGATAGTTATAAAGAAGTTGAAAATGCATCAGAGAAATGAGGGAAAACGGGTGATGTTCCTGTTAGTTGTTTATATAGGGGGTAGATTGTAAGAAACCAGCCAATTTAATTCTTAACTTTGTTAACCAAGGCAGTGAAGCTAGATTGATTGTGCTCTTATACCTCTCTTAAGCCTATAGGCTAGAAAAATTTCATAGTTTGCCGATCTGATGAAATTGTAGCTATTCATTTGAAATTTACATAGAATACTGGATTGAGCGAACAGCAGTCACCTAGATCATAATTCCAGTAATTTTAGAATCCAGCATGGCATCTTGGTTAGGAAGTCTCTTGTATGTAGTTTAACGAACGAGTATGTCTATCACGACTTGCACTTCATAAATGAAATATCAATTATCTGCAGCTTTTGGAAACTTTTGGAAGGTAGGAGGGCCCCTCTACATATTTGTTGCAGGGACCATACTGTTTGTCAATTTTCCTACCTTCTTTTGTCCTTTCATGTTTAAAAATGTCAAGGCATTGGACTCTTCCGTCCTGCACATGAAAAAATATATTTTTCTAACAT